GATATTACCTAGTTGGGTAATGAAATGTCTGCAAGCCAACAGTCATGCTCAGACCGCTCAGAGCACCAGCGCTTCAAACGTAGCATATGATCTAAACATTTCTAAATCTCAGATGGGCCAATGCTGTTCATTCCGTGCAAATAAAACCTGAAGAATTCCTGAAGGAATTTGGACCCCCTCTTCTTTGTGGCACCCCTCAAATATTCAAACACGGCTATCGTGTCACCCCAAACTTTCCTTCACTCACCACGTGCCCCTTGTTCATTTTCCTGCTTCTCAAATGTTTATAAATTTAATGGTGAGGCTAGGCCCCTGTCTAAGTCCTAAGCTGTTGATTGAACTATCGTACTTTCTGCCGTATAAGACGATTTTTGAGAGTGTTGAAATCGGCGCCGAACTCGGGGGTCATCTTATACGCCGAGTCGTCTAATACACCAGAAATAACGTAGCTTCCGGCGTATAAGACGACTTTCTAGGCATGCGACTCGACGTCGAAGTCGGGGGTCGTCTTATAGGCCGGGTCGCCCTATACACCGGAATATACGGTACCTAGTTTTTTGGGATCGTTGTTGAACGATGGCAGTCTCTCTCAACCTTGGTGACAACTTTAAGACGGGTGGGCTTGAAATCCCAGAATTACCTGGTTAGATGGGTGGACTTCGACTCCCACAATCCTCCAGCTTGATTAGGGTATTGTTTAATAGACACATAGAAGTAAATCATATTTAAACACCGTTCAAAAAGGATAATACAAAAAGCTAAGGAAGAAACAAGAGGAACACATCCTCTTCAGCAGCTGACTAGATAAGCAGGGATTAACCCCAGACAAACAAGGTGAAAACAATACCCTAATCATACTGGCTGGGAAATTCTGGGTATTGAAGTCCACACCTCTTAAATTGTCCAACGCTAGATTAAAATGTTGGTTGAGTGTGGCTAGCTTAGCTCAAGGCCATGCTTAGCCCCGAGAAATATACTGAGGCAGGTTCTCTTTCAGACCCACCTACCTCACAGGATTGTTGTTATGGGGACAAAATGGAGATTTCCCCGACAGATCACTTTTAACCTCCTGGAAAGCTACAGGTCCAACATTCTGGTGAGGTAATGTCATTAACTGCTATTGCATATATATCAAAACATCATCACGACATTTGGAGATCTTCGTTGATCCAGATGGGGCCAGCCAGCAACTCGAACCCACCTCTGGAATGGCCCACACCTGATTGGTTGAGATGCTGGTTCCCATTATTTTTTTTTCATCCCCAGTTAAAAATAAACCAGGATTTATATTTTTAACTTCCCAGAGAACAGATGGAATATGTTGGCGGATAGAGAAAAGAAATGAAGGGGATGTTTCTGGTTTATACAGTTACTCCTCTACTTACGACCATGATGTACGAGCTCAAAATTTACGTCGTTCAGGGAGAAGTTTGGGAAGTGAGTTTTGTCCCATTTGGCGACTTTTCTTCCCCCACTGACTTTGCTTGGGACACTGTGCAACCGACACAAATACAAGTCCGTTACCAAGTGGCTGAATTTTGATCACATGACTGCCAGGACGCTGCCATGGTCATAAGTGTAAAAAAACGGTCATTTTTTTCAGAGCCCTGGTGACTTTGAACGGTCGTAAGTGGAGGACTATCTGCCTACGGATTTGTTACCACCTTAGTTTTTCGGTGCATCTATGGGAGAAAATCCACGCGGCAGTGGCAAGGATGAGTCTGAACATGGAGAAAGGGACTGTGTTCAAGTCAACCCCAACTTGGCGAAAAGTTCTCCAGAACTTTTTCTGTTTGACTCCAAGCTGGGAGATTTGTCCCTTGTATGATGCAACTGTCCCGGAGTAGAAAGTCAACAATTTTCTGGGACTCCAGATTTTGTCCTGGTTAAGGCAGGGTTCCTGTGTTCTGGCTACACACAGGCGTTAAAAGACACAACTTCGTGTTGGGGCGGAATTCGATTCGCGATCCCTGTTTTAAATCTCTGCCTGCTCTTTGAGAGCAAAAGTTAAGGTCAAAATAAGATAAAAATAAGAAATAAAGTCCGCCAGGCAGCAGATCCATGCCGCGCGCCAGTGGCAACCAGTTCCCTCCTATCTAGAGTGCATGCACAGAAAACTTCCATTTTTTTTCCCCGCCACCCACCCCGGCCCCTTACGAATTGGCAAACAATAAATAGGATAATAAATAGGATAAATTAGAATATTTAAATAGAGAATCCTATGCATACGGCGGCAGCAGCAGCGGCTCTTCTGGTGCGCTCAGATTTAGCAGGAGGGATTCGCTGAAAGGAAAAAGGTGGACTCTAGCAGGGCAGCAAAATAAAAAACTCATTTTGTTTTCTCCCTCTTTAAGAGGGGCTTAAATACTGTCCGTTACCTGCCCCTGGAGGTTGATGTGCTGAACTTCCACCCGGCCAATTACAGGTCATCCTCAATTTACAGCCACAGTTACAGCAGGAGAGACTAACAAGAGTTGGGAGGGACCTCGGAAGTCATCTAGTCCAACCCCCCAATCCCGCTCAGGCAGGAAACCCTATCCCAGTGGTGGCGAACCTATGGCACGGGTGCCAGAGGCGGCACTCAGAGCCCTCTCTGTGGGCACACACACCGTCTCCCCAGCCCCGCCTCCTGCCACGGCCCCCTCCTCACCAGCAGACCCCCCCCCGGAGGAGAGTCGCCCCTGGGCACGGCCCACACGAAGCAGCACAGCCAAGAACGTGGTAGTCGGACAGCGGGAACAAGACTTCACCCTTGCGCCCCGTTGCACGCAGATGATGCTGCGGGGCACGGGCGGGGAGCGTGGCCGCCATGATGCTGCTGGGCTGCCTGGGTGATCTGTGGAGGGCCGTGGAGGTGGTGGGTGGCCCAGTGGGCAGGGCGGAACGGGGACAGGGGGGCAGTTTTTGGGCACTCGGTCTCTGAAAGGTTCGCCATCGCTGCCCTATCCCGTTTCAGACAAATGGCTGTCCAGTCTCTTCTTAAACACCTCCAATGTTGGAGCACCCACAACATCCGTTCTCTTGAGCCCCAAATTTCCGTTGCTAAGCAAGGCATTTGTTATTGTCCCGTTTTACGACCTTTTCTTGCCATAGTTCTGAAGTAAATCGCTGCCGCTATTAAGCTAGTCACTCAGTTGTTAAATGAATTTGGCTTGCCCCGCCCCCTTGACTCTGTTTATCAGGAGGTCACCAAAAGGGATCCGGTGACCCCCGGGGGACACTGCAAACCGTCGTAAATGTGAGTCAGTTGCCAAATGTCTGGATTTTGATCCGGTGACTGTAAGGACGTCGCGACGGTCGTTAAATGTGAAAAACGGTCATAACTTTGGATGGCCCCCTAAAGGAACGGCTGTAAGTCGAGGACCACCTGGATTTGTCCCTCTTTTAAAAAAGGCTTTTATGTGCGTCACAAAAAGAGGCTCAAAGTTCAGAGGTTAAGCTTGTGCAAAAATGTTGGCATTCGACAATAGCTGGATGGCATTCAGATGGGTAGCTGGTCCTAGTGAATCCAAAGCTGTCCTTTGGACCGGATTAATATTGGATTAACTACAAAGAGCCAAGGAAAAGGAGACCACCAAGAGATTCCCCAGGAAATGTCCGGGCTGTAGGCGAAACTTCAGAAGTCAAAACTAAAGTCCTTCCTGTTGTCACCCAGAAACCCACAGAGGACTCATCCGTGATCCTGAGGGGGTCCAGCTTGATTTCAGTGAGACTTTATTTGTGCTGTGGTTTGAAAAAGGTAAGCTGGACCTTGTCAGGTTCACGGGGATAGGAGACCACCAGGAGAAGCAACAGCCAATCTCTTCTGCATGGCTGACAAGGAGAACTACCCTGGACATATCCCTGAGGATCTCCTCAGCCGACTAGACCCAAAAAAGGGGAATTTTTACTTTTCTGGATCTGAGATACTGATTTTTGGTTGCTTCGGGGTCAACGTTTCTAGTCCTCAAGGGCCGGCAAAGCTGCCCTGTGTAGGGTAGTCCACCTTTTTCCTAATTGGCGCCCCTTAGATCAATGTTTCTCATTCTGAACAACTTTCAGAAGCGTGGACTTCGACTGTGGCTAGCTGGGGAATTCTGGGAGTCAAAGTCCACCCTTCTTAAAGTTGCGGAGAAAAATTGCTCTAGATCAGTGGTTCTCAACCTTTTTAATGCCGCGACCCCCAACCGGTCGTAAGTCGAAGACTACTCAACTGGTCGTAAGTCGAGGACTACTCAACGGGTGCAGCACCGTTTGCAGAATGGGACTTTTGGCAGGCTCAGCAGGGCAGAGACAGCCTGGACAATTCCTGTTGGCTTTTGAAAGCCAACAGAATTAGACTCTATTCAAGAGAGTCTATTCTATTGGCTTTCAAAAGCCAATAGAATAAAAGGGAGTAGCACAGCTAAGGAAAAGGGGGGGAAAAAATGGCGGACTGCGTTGTTTGGCGACCCCCGTAAAATGGTCGTTCGACCCCAAATGGGGTCCCGACCCACAGGTTGAGAACCACTGCTCTAGATAAACAGAGCTATTCAACAGAGCTATTGGCAAGGGTTTCCAGGGGAACTCGGTCAAAAAAGTCAAGATGGCAGCTATCAAAAGCCTGCCCCTTTAAAAAAATATATGCTGCGCATAATTGCAGATGCCATGTGGACATTTTTTGATCCTCCCCTCTCAGACATGGACTGCTGCAATTTCTTAAGGACACCAGCCCATCTTAGAGCTTCCGAAGCCTTTGTAACCAGGGTTATAACCAGAAAAGCCGCTGTTTTTATACACACACACACCCACACCGACACATTCACACGTTGCGTTCCCAGACCCTTGTTCCACAAAGGTTCCTCAATTCTTACAGCAGAAGTACTGCCGTAATGCAGTCTTCCTCAACCTCTGCCACTTTAAAGTGGATGGACTTCAACTCCCAGAATTCCTCAGCCAGCATGGCTGGCTGAGGAATTCTGGGAGTTGAAGTCCACCTCCCTTAAAGTGGCAGAGGTTGAGAAAAACTGCGACACACCCTTTCTAGTTTTTTTCACAACCGGGTGAGTCTTGAATTCCAAACTACCCAGCGTGGCTCCATCGGTTGAACTTCTACCTCTTCGAAGAGTCTCCTTGTGCAGGCAAACAGCAACAGCTTTTGTTCCGTCCCCGAAAAGTTTCCCTCGCTGACCAACTGTGTTCTCCCCCCCCTCCCAAAAGGCAGAAGCAGCAGCAGCATGAAATAAATACAGAATAAATAAATTAAGGAGTAAATACGCCCGTGGTGTTCCAAAGGAGAGGTGTCCCTTCTTTCCGTCTCCTGCGTCGTGTCCCCAAAAGTCCAGAGTTTCTCGCAAGGTGTGAAGACAAGCAGGGATCAGGTGAGGGAGGGGATTCCCTCAGGGACACCTTTATGCAAGCAAAGTGGTTGTTATTGCTTCTGCTGAGCTGAAGGAAGGGAAAAAAAAGGGGGGGCGAAATCAGAAAGCAAGTGGGCTTTGTGATCTGTTCTAGCTCTCTTTCCAAAAAGTCCTCTGGGCTGGATTCACACAACATGTCAAACCAGTGGTGGGATTCGAATGGGGGAAGAACCGGTTCTGTGCGTGGATGCCACTTCCGGAAGTCCGTTCTGGGCCTGGGCAACAAAAAAATTCACTCCCGGTTCTGCCGAAGTGGTGCGAACCGGCTGAATCCTACCGCCATGTCAAATCCTAAATCAGATGTATCCAACACTGTTCCTGCATTCACGCGTTATGCTGGGCCCAAACTAACCACCTCATGGCTTCGTGCACCTGGTGTATCCCCACGCCGAGTTGGTCCTAAACTTCATCCAGGTACAGATTAGCACCTTCATTCTTTCAACCTTAGTTCGTTAATTCATCCACAGATGTTTCTTCCGCTTTCTGTCTCGGGGAGTGAATTTGAGGGTTGCCCCAGGTACGACGTGTCGTCGTTCGTCAGCTGCACACAGCAAGACCGAGAACCCCACTGCACCCCGGTCCGCTGTGTCGTGTGAATCCAGCCACGGATAATATTCGCTCAACAGCCTTAAGCCAGGTTTTGAAATCCATCCAGTTCTTCAAAGCACGAACTAATCCAGGGGCTGAAGGCAGATGGACCTCTGAGCTTTGCTCGCATGCGTACAGGACCTGAGCAACGCTAAGGACCCCCGAACGTAGCAGGTCGGGCAGGTGTATCTATCACCTTGACTTGGCCGGGTTATATGTGTTGTGTGAACCCAGTCCGCTGAGTTTTAGGAAGAGAGTTCGCTGAGCTTGCAGTGCTCGCCTCAACGCGCAGCACTGCGGTGTCCTGTGATTCTTCCCAGGGATCCTCCCGGCTCCAGCGAGCTTCTTTTTTGTGAAGCGGGAATCAACCCCGGGAAGCCCAAGAGGAGGTGGCAGGCGTGGGAACTCCCTGCCACAGCTTGGGGTCAGTTCCCCGCTGGGCAGGCGTGCTCTGGCCCCTTGAAGCAGGCCGATTCGTAGTGTTTGTGGAGGTAGGACTTGAGGGCAAAGGTCTTGTGGCATTGCTTGCAACGGTAGTGCTTGAGCGCCGAGTGGGTTTGCATGTGGGCGCGCAGATTGGAGCGGTCAGCAAAGGCCTTCCCGCAGTGGGAACACCCGAAGGGCTTCTCCCCGGTGTGCGAGCGCATGTGTCCCTGCAGCAGCCATGGCCGGCTGAAGGCCTTGCCGCACACGGCACACTTGTGTTTGAGGTTGTGGGTCAGCAGGTGCATCGCCAAAGCCGGCATGGAGACGTAGGCCTTGCTGCACGTCGGGCACTTGCGCGCCAGCTTGCTATCCAGGCTGCGGTGCGTCTGCTTGTGCCGGCTGAGGTTGGAGGAGGTGGCGTAGGTCTTGCCGCATTCGGTGCAGGCGTGGCGGTGTCCTCCCCGGCGAGGACCCTCGGCCCGCCGGCGGGACCGCCCGTCAATGATGAAGAAGGCGTCCATGGAGTAGCTCTCGGTGACGGCCGCCTCGCCCTGGAAGTAGTGAGAGGACAGGCTGGATTGGGGGCTCTCGGGATCGCTGTAGTCCTCTTGGATCGGGGTGTAGAGGGGGTCAGGAGAGGCCCCCTGGCGGTGGGCTTTCTTCTTTTCATTCTTGTAACCTGAGGAAGGGAGGCAGGCCGGGAGGTATTCTGCGGGAGAGAGAGACAGAGAAGCACAGGGAAAAGGTTCGGATAATTGAAAAACGTCGGCCGATTGGGCTGGGGATTCTACCGCACGGATCCGGGCCGGCGTTTCTCGCCCTCGGTCACTTTAAAAGGTCCGGGCTTCTTAAACTCCCAGAATTCCACAAGCAAGTGCCAGTCCATTCTAGGAGTTTTAAGTCCAGACCTCTTAAAGTGGCCGAGGTTGAAAAATACTGACCAAGATCGTTGAGTTCCTTCCGTGTTCGGTCTTTTGGTTATCAGCCTCCTGGATGGGTGTTTCTGAACCTTGGCAATGTTAAGAAGTGTGGATTTTTACTTGCCAAATTGAATTCAACTCCTGGCTAGGCTAGGCTAGGCTAGGGCAGGGCAGAAGAGGAGAGGAGAGGAGAGGAGAGGAGAGGAGAGGAGAGGAGAGGAGAGGAGAGGAGAGGAGAGGAGAGGAGAGGAGAGGAGAGGAGAGGAGGAGAGAGGAGAGGAGAAGGAGAGGAGAGGAGAGGAAAGAGGAAAGGAGAGGAAAGGAGAGAGAGGAGAGAGAGGAGAGGAGAGGAGGAAAGGAGAGGAGAGGAGAGAGGGAGAAGAGAGGAGGAGAGGAGGAGGAGAGGAGGAGAGAGGAGAGGAGAGGAGAGGAGAGAGGAGGAGGAGGAGGGAGAGAGGAGAAGAGAGGAGAGGAGAGGAGAGGAGGAGAGGAAAGGACAGGAGGAGAGAGGAGAGGAGGAGAGAGGAGAGGAGAGGAGGAGAGGAGAGGAGAGGAGAGAGGAAAGGAGAGGAGAGGAGAGGAGGAGAGAGGAGAAGAGAGGAGGGGAGAGGAAAGGAGAGGAGAGGAAAGGAGAGGAGAGGAGGAGAGAGAGGAGAGGAGAGGAGAGGAGGAGAGAGGAGAGGAGAGGAAAGGAGGAGAGGAGAGGAAAGGAGAGGAAAGGAGAGGAGAGGAGGAGAGAGGAGAGGAGGAGGAGGGGAGGGGAGAGGAGAGGAGAGGAGGGGAGGGATGGAGAGAGAGGAAGGGTTAGGGTTTAAACAAATTTGTTTAAAGCTATTTACATTGCCATCTTAACTAAATCCATTGAAGAAAGAGAGAGAGAGAGAGGGAGGGAGGGGGAGGGAGGAAGATAGAGAAAAAGGAAAGGAATACAGAATAAGGGAAGGAAAGGAAGGGGAAGGATAGGGAATAGAAGGAAAAGAAAGGAAAGGAAAGGAAAGGAGAGGAGAGGAGAGGAAAGGAAAGGAAAGGAAAGGAGAGGGAGAGTAGAAGAAAGGGAGGGAGAGAGAAAAAGAAGAAAAGGAGGGAGGAAGGGAGGAAGAAAGGAAGGAAGGGAGGGAGGGAGGGAGGGAAGGAAGGAAGGAAGGAAGGAAGGAAGGAAGGAAGGAAGGAAGGAAGGAAGAAGGTGAAGGGAAGAGGGTTGATCCTGATGAGAGAGGAAGGAAGGAAAAAAAGGTGGAAACAAGAATTACGCTTTATGTTCTGGAGAACTGGCTGGCTGCAGAACTCTGGAAGTTGAAGTCCACCCATCAACGCTGATCTGATTTGAATCCAAAGGGAAGACTAGGTTAAACTCTCCGCCTTTGTGTACAGGTTTGTACGCACCAACCCACAGTCCCAACTCAACCCAAAGATCATAGCATCGGGCGTGACCGGCTCAACCACCGCCTTTGTGGTTCCAATTTTTGTCCTTGGCAAGGACAAAATGAAGGAAGGAGGGTCCCATCTGCAAGGGATTCACCAGCCTGGTGTATCCTAGTGTGGGGCTGATGGGACTTGTGATTAGACAGAGAGAGAGCCGCTGGGTCTATGGTTAAGGCATTAGGCTAGAAAGCAGGAGATGGTGAGTTCTAGTCCCACTTTAAGCAGGAAAGCTGGCTGAGTCACTTTGGGCCAGTCACCGGGAGACAGTGAGTTCTAGTCACGTCCTAGGCGTGAAACTCGGCTGGGTGACTTTGGGCCAGTCACCAGGAGTTCTAGTCACGTCCTAGGCGTGAAACTCGGCTGGGTGACTTTGGGCCAGTCACCGGGAGTTCTAGTCATGTCCTAGGTGTGAAACTCGGCTGGGTGACGTTGGGGCAGTCACTGGGAGACGGTGAGTTCTAGTCACGTCCTAGGCATGAAACTCGGCTGGGTGACTTTGGGCCAGTCACTGGGAGACGGTGAGTTCTAATCACATCCTAGGCGTAAAACTCGGCTGGGTGACGTTGAGGTAGTCACTGGGAGATGGTGAGTTCTAGTCACATCCTAGGCGTGAAACTTGGCTGGGTGACGTTGGGGCAGTCACTGGGAGATGGTGAGTTCTAGTCATGTCCTAGGCGTGAAACTCAGCTAGGTGACTTTGGGCCAGTCACCAGGAGACGGTGAGTTCTAGTCACGTCCTACGCGTGAAACTCAGCTAGTCACCAGGAGACAGTGAGTTCTAGTCACATCCCAGGCGTGAAACTCAGCTGGGGGACTTTGGGGCAGTCACCGGGAGACAGTGAGTTCTAGTCACATCCCAGGCGTGAAACTCAGCTGGGGGACTGTGGGGCAGTCACCGGGAGATGGTGAGTTCTAGTCACGTCCTAGGCATGAAACTCAGCTCTGGGTGACTTTGAGCCAATCACCGGGAGACGGTGAGTTCTAGTCACGTCCTAGGCATGAAACTCAGCTCTGGGTGACTTTGAGCCAATCACCGGGAGACGGTGAGTTCTAGTCACGTCCAAGGCATGAAACTCAGCTCTGGGTGACTTTGAGCCAATCACATGGAGACGGTGAGTTCTAGTCACGTCCAAGGCATGAAACTCAGCTCTGGGTGACTTTGAGCCAATCACCGGGAGACGGTGAGTTCTAGTCACGTCCAAGGCATGAAACTCGGCTGGGTGATTTTGGGGCAGTCACCGGGAGATGGTGAGTTCTAGTTACGTCCTAGGCATGAAACTCAGCTCTGGGTGACTTTGGGCCAGTCACCGGGAGACTGTGAGTTCTAGATGGGAGTTATAGAAACATCATGAATAAATAAATAAAAGTGTAATCTTACCCCGTTTTCTTTAATGTGCCAACTGGGAAGGACTTCCCTCCGCTTTAATGTTTACCTGCCCCCAGAAACCCTGCTCTAAGTAGGGGGCTAGTCTAGAGGACCTCTAAGACCCTGTCAGTCCTTTGGGCTTTCGTCACTGCCAGTAGCAGGGACTGGTGTGACTCTCATCCGTGCATGCAGGAAGCAAACAAGAACCGCTCCCGGCGAGGTCCTAGGTGGTCTGCAATTTCCGTTTCTGAAATGTCGGAGAGGCTGCTATTTTTAGCTGACGAATTCAGCAGAAGTTGACATATTCCCAGGACATCTGTCTCTGCTGATGTGGCCTTTGGAGCGGAGAAAGGGATCCGACCTCCATTGGAAAATCAGCAGAAGAAAGGTGCAGAATGTTGGGATCACAGGAAGGAGGGAAGGGAAGGGAAGGGAAGGGGAGGGAAGGAAGGGGAATGGAGGGAAGGGAAGGAGAGGAAAGGAAAGGAAAGGAAAAAAGAGAGGAGAGGAAAGGAAAGAGAAGGGAAGGAAAGGAAAGGAAAAAGGAGAGGAGAGAAGAGGAAAGGGAAGGGAAGGGAAGGAAAAGAGAAAGGAAAGGAAAGGAAAGGAAAGGAAAAAGGAGAGGAGAGGAAAGGGAAGGGAAGGAAAAGAGAAAGGAGAGGAGAGGAAAGGAAATGAAAGAAAGGACAGGAAAGGAAAGGAAAAAGGAGAGGAGAGGAAAGGAAAGGGATGGAAAAGAGAAAGGAAACGAAAGGAGAGGAAAGAAAGGACAGGAAAGGAAAAGAAAAAGGAAGGAGAGGAGAGGAGAGGAAAGGGAAGGGAAGGAAAAGAGAAAGGAAAGGAAAAGAGAGGAGAGGAAAGGAAAGGAAAAGAAAAAGGAGAGGAGATGAGAGGAAAGGGAAGGGAAGGGAAGGAAAAGAGAAAGGAGAGGAGAGGAGAGGAAAGGAAAGAAAAAAGAAGAGGAGAGGAGAGGAAAGGGAAGGAAAAGAGAAAGGAAAGGAAAGGAGGAAAGGAAAGGAAAGGAAAAAGGAGAGGAGAGGTAAGGAAAGGAAAGGGAAGGAAAAGAGAAAGGAAACGAAAGGAGAGGAAAGAAAGGACAGGAAAGGAAAGGAAAAAGGAAGGAGAGGAGAGGAGAGGAAAGGGAAGGGAAGGGAAGGGAAAGAGAAAGGAGAGGAGAGGAAAGGAAAGGAAAGAAAAAAGAAGAGGAGACGAGAGGAAAGGGAAGGAAAAGAGAAAGGAAAGGAAAGGAGGAAAGGAAAGGAAAAAGGAGAGGAGAGGAGAGGAGAGGAAAGGGAAGGGAAGGAAAGGAAAAGAGAAAAGGAAGAAAAGGAAAGGAAAAGAAAGGAAAGGTAAAAGAAAGGAAAGGGAAGGAAATCCACAGATCATAAAGAATGCCAGCTGGGTAATTCTGGGACTTAAGCTCCACCCTCTTCATGCAGGCTGGGCTGGGGAGTTCTGGGAGTTGAAGTCCACCTGTTTCCAAGCAGGCTTTCCCGGACCGTCCCCCCAACTGAGCCTGACTGCTGAGCCACCACATCCAGAGAGGAAGGACGATGTGGGAGGGAATTTCCTTGAAGAGAGTGCAGACCATCCTTGACTTACAACTGCTCGTTTAGTGACCGTTCAAAATCACAGCAGCAGTGAAAAAAAGTAACCAAGGAGTGCTTTTCGCACTCACGACCGCTGCAGCCTCCCCAGGGTTACGTGACGGAAATTCTGACGCTCAGCCACTGGCCGGTACTTATGATGGTTGCCCTCTCCCGGGGTCAGGGGGTCCCTTTCCATGACCTTCTGACCCCAAAGTCGCTGGATTCACTATACAGCTGTATGACTCACTTAACAATTGTGGCGAGAAGGGTCATAAAACGGGGCTGAACTCACTGAACAGCTTAGCAGCGCAAAAGGTGGGCTCAGTTGTGGCCGTAAGTCAAGGAGAAGCTATATCTGAGTTCATAAAGGAAAGGGCAGGGTGTGTTTGTGTGCGTTTGTATGCCTCTCTCT